TATTTTTAATTAATGTCTACACCGAACATGGGGCTCAAGCTCAGAACCCTGAGATCAAGAGTTGAACACTCTACCTCCTGAGCTAGTTAGGCGCCCTGTGTATTCTTCTTTCTCATTACAAAAGAAATGCTTATTGCTCAAAGTCAGAAGTAAACAGCACAAACAATCGTAATAAGCACTGTTCCCTTCCATTTATCTCTGCGTTGTGTCTTTCCTTTATCAACTGCAAACAGCAGAGTCCTGCCTTATCAGTCCCACTGATGATACTGGGGGACATCAGACCCCAGGCTCTGTCCATGTCTTGCTACACCCTGCTGTCAGCATGAAGGGAAGACCCAGGTTTTGTGGGACCTCTGGTTTACAGGGCTTGGGAGCACTTCTTTTTTTTTTTTTTTTTTAAGATTTTATTTATTCAAGAGCAAGAGAGAAAGAGAGCAAGAGAGAGCACAAGCAGTGGGGAGGGAAAGAAAGAGAGGGAGAAGCTCCCTACTGAGCAGGGAGACCAATCTGGGACTCGATCCCAGGACCCTGAGATCATGACCTGAGCTGAAGTCAGAGGCCTAACCTACTGAGCCATCCAGGAGCCCCAAGTACAGGAAGCCTTCTTTAAATAAAGGAATACAAAGCTAGCTATGAAAGTGAACATCTACTTTAGAATAAAAATGAGAAAATAAATCACAGTGAATTCAAATTTTAATAATCGACAGATACCACAAACAGAACAGTAGTATTTTTGTTAATTAGCTGCTTTGCACACCTCATAGGGGCTTTTTTTTAATTTTTGTTTTATGCCTTTAATTGCCTCTACATAGATGACCATGAGTTTGTAACGTATTCTACAGAGAGAAAAAGAAATTAGTCCTTCTTGTAATGTATTTTATCACATTTAATCAAATTTGATCAAGATTAGAAAATCTGGCCTCACATTTAGCTTTTGATAATGCTGTATACATTTTTAGGATTGTCGCTAAATTTGAAAACACCATCCTCAAGTTTCTTCCACAAATAAGCTGCAAGATTTGAAGCTATTTCTAGTTTTCTTGGCATGCTCATTATTCATAAATGTTCTGACAACATAGGGAATTCCTAGAAGCTCTTCCTACCCCAAGACGGCTAGTGACCGTTTGGCTCTGCCCCAAAGTGAGTGGGAATCAGATGAATATATCCCAGAAAACCTGCGTTAAATGTCACTTGGACTCAGCATACACTTACCTAAGTCCTAAATTCTAGCATCATGTCCCCAGCATGATGGGAAGTAGGACAAGGGAAGTCAGAGTAGGAAGAAACAGCAGAAGGGAAGTCAGAGGAGAAAAAAACAGTAGTCGTAAGTGCTTGCAATGAAAATATCCTACTTTTGCAAATGTTACAAAAACATGTGACCACACAAACACATTGCGAGGGCCCCTTCTGGGCCTTGAAGCTCCAGTTTCATGAGCTCCGCAGCAGGCCTGCCTCTGCGCATCACCCCTCATTCCCACGTGTTGCCTCTCGGTCATGAGGGGACCAATGCAGCCACTGGCACAGACCCATGAGAAAGTCAGGAAGAGGGCCACAGCTACCTCCTCAATAGTGCTTGTCCCCAAAGCTCCTGCTGGTGACTCCACTCCATTCTTACAGTCAAAACTGGGTCACAGGACCCCCAGCTGCAAGGGAGTCTGGGTAAGGGAGTATTTTTAAGTAGAAACATTTCTTTGCCAACAAAATCAGAGTACTGTTGGTCAAGAGAGACTGAATATCGGGTGGGCAGCAAACAGAGTCTGCTTCAGCTCCTGTATTATTCCTATGTGGGTGATGGATGGGTGGTTGGGTGGATGGACGGATGGACTGATAGATGATAGAATACCTATATTTTCTTATAAAAATTTATACTGTTTTATTAACATATCACAGTTTCCTTACGTGATTCACCAATCCTTGAAAACTAGTCAATGGGAAATAACATTTTTTTGTCTAAATTGACATGTGTTGACCACCTTCTGCTACTGAATAAACATTCTGCTAAATCATCTGCTGCATTTTTTTAGTAGCAGAACGTTCTTTCAAACAAAAGCCCCATCTGTCAGACAGATGAAGGCTGCGCCTTCGCCTTCGGCCACCAGTAAGGTGGCCGCCAGGAACCCTTTCTCTCCTCACTCCTGATAGCCCGAGGCGTTTCTGCGGAACTCGGTAGAGTCACGGGTTGTTGGATAAGATAGCCTTTCAGATCTTTCCAGCCCAAAAAGGCTGCTTTGAAACTGAGGGGCCCAGAGAGGGGCGTGAGACCTCGTGGGCTACGTGGCTCACTCTGCAGGCACAACAAGTCATAAGATGAGCGGGAGGCAGGGCCGCAGGGGGCGGCTGCTGTGGGACGCTGGGTGTGCCCAGCACAGTGCTGGGACCCTCACACTTACCCCTCTGCACCGAGGGTGTCTGGGTAACAGACCAGACATTCAGGCCCACAGGCCAGACTCGGCTTCTTCATCCCCTGGAGAAGCCAAATACCACCCACCTGAAGTTATTTCCTAGACCTCTAAGAATCTAAGAAGATGGGATGGCAGGGGCGCCTGGCTGTCTGTGTCATAGAGCACACGACTCTTGATCTCGGGGTGTGAGTTCAAGCTCCACATTAGTTGCAGAGATTACTTAAAATCTTTAAAAAAAAAAAAAAAAAAAAAGGAAATGGTATGGCTGACTGTGTTTTCCAAAGGCTGAAACACTCACATGTAAGTGTCCTCTAGGAAGGAGCTGGGAGGATAAGCTCAGGAGACGCGTGGGGTAGGGGATGAGGACACTAGAAGGCATATGTTCCCCGTCTCCCCTTTTCCAGTATCTTAGGACCCACCTTCTGAGCTGTCTTTGGAAAGACTCGGGTGTTCTGTCTGTCATAATGGAGGGAGAAAGAGAAGCAGGGCTGTTCCTGGGGTGCGTTTGAGGATGGGATGAAAGTGGCCTGCTCGCCTGATGAGCAGCACAGGCTGTAAATTTGAGCCTCGGTGCTGGACGGGGCAGCGTGACCAGAGGGAAGTGTAAGAGCAGCCAACAGTGTGGAGGATTTCAGTGAAAATAGCCTTCTGTGGCGGTTCACACAAGAGCTATAGAGAGAGGCGGAACTGCATTTTAGTTCCTCCTAGAAGGTTGGTCAAGTGCCATCTCCTCCCCAGAGGCTGAAGGCCTCACACCTTCTCTGTCCTCCAGCCCTGCTCCCCTTCCCATGGCCTCCCCTCTGCCCCCTCCACCCCCCCTCCCTAGCTGGCAGCAGTTCCCATAGCACGGGGAGGCCCCCTTTTTCTTTTCCCTACCTCACACACCTGATTAACCCGAATAAGCTCTCAGCAAAAATCAAGGAATCAAAGATGTAATTCCAATTAAAAAAAAAAAAATTCTGGTTTGTTTTTGTTGTTGTATAAGCCAACTTTCTTATTTTTATTTTCAAGTAATTCTGGATTCACAGGAATTTGAAAAGATAATGTAAAGAGGTCCATAGCCCTTCCCTCAGTTTCCGTGGTGGCCCCGCTTTGCATGACCGAGCACCAGGTCACATGGGCGGCCCGCGCTGGGACCATCCAGACTCTGGTCCCATTTCCCCAGTCGTACAGTCATGTCTTCCGTAAACCATTTGTCTCAGCTGTGAACATAATCTAATCATATTACAGAACACTTGGAAAATAAAGGGGAGAAAAAAGTTCCTCCTGCTTCTGATATCCTGCCTCCCACTGTATGCATTTTAGTGTTCATTTCCTTCCGGTCTCATGTGTACTTTTAGCCTAATGGAAAGCATCATTTATATGCGGTATTATAAACTCTTATTAAATGTTTTTAAAAAACTATTTTTTCATAACCTAGTCTTTAGCATTGTAAATGGCCGCTTAATATTTCAAATGAATTTGCCATATTTCACTTATTTATTCCTCTCTTATCAGACACTTGATTATTCCAACTTTATAACAATTTTGTAACAAGCAACTTTGTTTATTTAATGTTTTCCATATTTGGGGTTCTTTCACTAGGATTTAAACCCAAGGATGTGAACATTTTTATGACCCTTCTGATGTAAAACACCAGATTACTTCCTATAGTAATTAGAAATGACCCAGCCTGCTGGGCCACTAACATTTCCGACTCCTGCCAGCCATGGGATCATTTCTTTAATGATCCTGTAATTGTTGAAAGATGATACCTTTTAGTTGTAGTTTCTTCTTCTTTTTTTTTAAAGATTTTATTTATTTATTTGACACAGAGAGAGAGGGGGAAAGAGCACACAGGCAGGGGGAGCAGCAGAGGGAGAGGGAGAAGCAGGCTCTCTGCAGAGGAAGGAGCCCGATGTGGGGCTCGATCCTAGGACCCTGCAATCATGACCTGAGGCGAAGGCAGACGTTTAACGACTGAGCCACCCAGGCGCCCCGAAAGTTGTAGTTTCTAATTACTTGTGACCCGAAAGTTGTAGTTTCTAATTACTTGTGAAATTGATCGTTCTTCTCTTTTATTTATCAGTGATCTTTTCTATTGTGTAACTTAGCTATTTGAATTCTTTGCTCAATCGTCTACTGTTTTACTTTTTGATATGTAAGAGCTACTTATCTAATGACAATCTTAACCTTTCATCGGTTAAATATGTGCAAATATTTCTTCCCAGTTGGTTGTTTACCTGTTCATTTGGCTTATGTCTAACATATAAGTGGAAAATTTTTATGAAACCAAATCTGCCTTTTTTCCCTTCTCACTTTCAAAACTCAGTCTTCCCCAAGATGTGATTGTTACTGTATTCAAACTGTTTTCTTCTCCTCTTTTCCATGGCCTGTTTGTTTGTTGTTTTTTATTTTTTAATTTATACTGCTAAGTGGCCTAATGCAAACCTAAAGGAATTTTCCCCCAATTTCTGCTTATTGGAATAATCCATGTCATGATCCTTCCCCATTTATTTGCAAAGCCTCTTATTACTATAGATCAATGTATTACATGTAGGAACTTCTCCTTCAAGGTCAGCTCTCAAGTAGGTGGTATCTCCTCTTTCCTTCTGCCAGATTATGACGAACACGGGGAAGGCGAGGCGGAAGGGCCTGGCCTGTGTGCAGCAGAGTGCCGACGAGCCCCTGCGCCGGCCTGTCACCCCCGGCGGCCACAGGACCGGGTACCCAGTGTAAGTCCGGGCTAACAGAGGCGGGATTTCTTTTCTTAAGCTTTGTTTTAAGTGCAGTGTAAGATGTATGTCTTGGAAAACTCAAAATAAAACGTTCACATTGGAAAGCATTTATCTCTTTATTGTTTATCTCTCGGGGATTTTTGAGGGGAAAAACTTGTCTCCCTCACCCCTGGCTTGCTTCTTCCAAAAATGAAATGGTTGGATTTCAGGATCTCCAGGTACTTCCAGCCCTAGCCCAGAAGAAGCCAGGTGTCAGCCAATGTAATTCAAAGGAAAGGACCAGAAGGAGCAGCGGTGGATCCACCCAACAACCCCCCCCCCCCGGGTTGCTTTTGCTCTGCTGGGGTGGAGTGTCACAGATGAAGACACCAAATCCACTTATTTTTAGATAAACACACTTTTTAAAGCAAATCTATGCATGTTTAGTGGCCTAGCTTTCTTCATAGCCTTGCTCCTACCCCATTGATGTAACCAAAATTGTAGTGAGGTTACCCAGAACCTCGGATCAACCTGGGGACCTAGGGACCTAGATCCCTGTGGGCTCTTAGGGAGCCCCAGACCAGGCAGTCCAGCTGTCCAGAGAGAATGGCAGAGAGAAATGGATACCTGCCGGGGGCTTATAGAGAGCAGGAGAAAAACCTACAGATGTGGCCATAGAATAGTTCAGATGAATAGGACATATTTTACAGAGTTATCCCCTATAGCCGGGCAGTTTGGTTGTTTCCAGTTTTACTCTATAGTAATTTGTAAGGAACAGCCAGGTGCCTGGGATACAGCCCCAAACAGAGCCTGGAAAGGGCTGCCCCCACGGAGCTCCATGCACAGTTGCTAGGGAGGCCGAGCCCCCCACCCACCCAGAGATCCTGCCAAGGTCTGTTGTCCACGTGGGACTTGACCATGGCCCACACCATGGACCGGTGATCTGTTTGATTTGGTTTCCAAACTAGTCATCCTGTGCTTCACATTTCAAGGTTCTTATTTTAAATTGCTAATATGCATTTTTCTCTTAAACTTGCTATCAGTATGTTTTAACTTAGCTTCCAGCTTGTGAATATTTTGCCACCTCTGCGTCCTCTCAGTTTCCCTCTATGTGCATGATGTATAATTTACACACTTAAACTTTGTTTTGCTGAACCGTTTGAAAGAAGGTTGCAGACCTGCGGCACACGTCCCCCAAGGGCCTGTGTATTTAACGACAATATCACACCTAAGAGAATTAACATTCACGTAACTTTATATAGTATATCAGTATTCCCTAACTGTCCCCAAAATGTCCTTTATATCAGGTTTTGTGTTTGCTTGTTTGATTTGGAATATAGCCAAGTGTCAACTACTAGTAAATCTGGTTTATGTCTTTTTAAATGGAAGTGGTAACAGGAGCTGATAAAATTCATCTTGCTTAACATGGAATAGAGGATGTCAAATCGTCATCTTTAAAAATTATTTCAAGATTATCTTTTAAAGCTCTTGAAACCCAGAGAGACAACCATGACATAAGGCTATTGCATTAGAAATAAGGATAAAGGGAATCTAATAAATATAAGATCTAACCAGTGGGCACCATCAATTCTGAGGTCAGGTGTTCTGCCTTGTGGAGAGGAAGAAGAAGATGTCTTTCCATGCCTGGAAGTGGTCCCTGAAGGACTGAGAGGACCTCATTTTCCTGGAACTGGACCTTCCCAATTGCCCATGGCCACTCCCTCCATTGGGCCAATTCTGCAAACATTTCTATCGCTTCTGTGTGCCAGATGGCGTGCTAATTGCTAGGGAAACTAGAATCAATGAGATGTGATTTCTGTCCCCAGAAGCACACAGAGCCAGCTGCCTCCTGGGGGAGAGCCATCATCAATGTCCTGTGGTCAGTGTATGGTAGCAGACGCTGGGTGCTCCCTGCACTCGGCAGAAAGTCAACTTTGAGGATCTTTCATTGTAAAGATCCTATAAAAAGTGTCTGTTACTCCGCACAGCCAGCCAGCTCTGATCATCTGGTGTTGCCAGGAGTGTTGACCGAGAATCTCAGGGATCTTGGAGACACTGACCATACACACAACACACATTCGAGGTACTGGTACTTCTGGAGTTAGTAATCCTACTTCTAGGATTTGATGCTGAGAAGTAATCAGAAATTCACAGATATATATACATGGGCATTTATTGCAGTGTTCGTAAGAAATCTAAATGGGGGCACCTGGGTGGCTCAGTTGGCGAAGCATCGGGCCCTTGATTACAACTGAGGTCATGATCTCAGGGTCATGAGATCGAGCCCCATGTTGGGCTCCACACTACACGTGGAGCCTGCTTAAGATTCTCTCTCTCCCTCTCTCCCTCTGCCCCTCTCTAAAAAAATAAAGAAAACCTTACTCGCTTAAAAAAAAAGAATTAAATGCCCAAAGTAGAAGGCTGTTTACATAATTATATATTCATACAACACAGCATTGAAAATGACATTTTTAAAGAATGTTTAATACATGAGGAGAGCCTCACAATATATTGCTAAGTGAAAAGGCAAATTTTTTAAAAAGATTTTATTTATTTATTTGACAGACAGAGATCACAAGTAGGCAGAGAAGCAGGCAGAGAGAAAGAGAGGGGAAAGCAGGCTCCCGCTGAGCAGAGAGCCCGATGTGGGGCTCGATCCCAGGACCCTGGGATCATGGCCTGAGCTGAAGGCAGAGGCTTTAACCCACTGAGCCTCCCAGGTGCCCCGAAAACCTAATTATAAAACAGGGTAGATCCAGCCTGCTGGTCACTTACAGTGATCCCAAGTTATTTTTTAAGGTACGTATTTGCATTTTTTAAAAGGTTTTATTTATTTATCTGACAGAGAGACACAGCGAGAGAGGGAACACAAGCGGGAGAGTAGGAAAGGGAGAAGCAGGCTTCCTGCTGAGCAGGGAGCCCCACGCGAGGCTCGATCCCAGGGTGAGCCAAGGCAGACGCTAAGGCCTGAGCCACCCAGGTGCCCCTAATTGCATTTTTTTAAGTGAAAAGATATCAGATATTATAGTGCTTGTGTCTAGGTATTGGGAGGGCAGGACGTTCTAGATATAGTCCATATATTTTCCTAATTTTTCATGATAAACATTTACTGCTTTTTTTTGTTAAAGATTTTATTTATTTATTTATTTATTTATTTGACAGATTTATTTATTTGACAGACAAATTTATTTATTTATTTGACAGATAGAGATCACAAGTAGGCAGAGAGTCAGGCAGAGAGAGAGGGGGAAGCAGGCTTCCTGCTGAGCAGAGAGCCCAATGTGGGGCATGATCCCAGGACCCTGGGATCATGACCCGAGCCGTAGGCAGAGGCTTTAATTCACTGAGCCACCCAGGCGCCCCTACCGCTTTTTTAATCAAGAAAAGAAAGATTGAGGAGCGCCTGGGTGGCTCAGTCATTAGGTGTCTGCCTTTGGCTCAGACCATTATCCCAGGATCCTGGGATCAAACCCCACATCTGGCCCTACTCAGCAGGAAGCCTGCTTCTCCCTCTCCCACTCCCCCTGCTTGTGTTCCCTCTCTCGCTGTGTCTCTCTGTCAAATAAATAAATAAAACCTTAAAAAAAAAAAAAAAAGATTGAAAATAAAAAGACGGTTACCCTGAACAGCTCAGGGCCCTTCCTCACCCCAGCATCCTATGTGCGCCCCCAACCCTCCCTCAGCCTATTTCCTCTGCAAACCGCACCCCCTCACCTCACCCCCTCTGTGGGTTCTGGATCCCTCCCCTCCGCCCACTGTCCAAACTTGGCGCCATCATTTAACACCTCATTTCCTCCACCTTCACCCTCCCCTCCTACTACTTTCCTTTCCCAGGCCTTCCTTCAGGCAGGCTCCCAGGTCCCCGGGCCCCCTTGGCCAGGGCCTCTCTGCCTGCTTCCCTGCCCCCTCCCCTCCCTTCGTGGCCCACGCGGTCCAGCAGTGACCTCAAGTTCCTCCTGCCACATCTATCCTTGCAGCTTCCTTTTTTTTTTTTTTTTTCTAGTTAAAATTCAATTAGCCAACATCTAGAACATCATTTGTCTCGGCTGTAGAGTTCAGTAACTCATCAGCTGCAGTTTCCAACCCTAGAGGATGCTCAGCATCTCTCTTGTGCTTGTCACTGCCAACCCACCTCCTGGTCACCCTCCTACCCCCACACCCTGCTGCCATGTAGGCTTGGCCCCAAACTCCCTCTCTGCCAACTAAAATGCCCCTTTTGTGGCCCCTACCCATCCCGCCTCTCCACGGGTTTCCTTGCACACTGCTGACACCCAGATTTCACTCCTTTCTAGACTTGCCCCAAGCCCGAGGGGTGTCCCCACAACACCCCAAGTCAGCGCTTCCTAGGGGAACACTACTGTCTTCTGAGCCCCCTGCTTCAGGGAATGACATTAACACCCCCAAACACGCGATTCAGAATCCCACCCCGTGGCTGCCAAGCCTTCTCCCTCTGCTCTCCCTGCTCTGCCCTCCCCTCTGCCCTCCAGAGCCACGTCTTCCCCCACAATGGTGCCCCCTGCCACTCTCCGCTAGAATGAGGTTTCTAGCACATTACCATAGAATGGCATTTCGGTGACTCCTGTTTCCCTCAGGGATCAAATCTAACAAAACCCTGGCTGACAGTTGACCCTGTCAGTTGACGCCCCTCACCTCCCCCACCCAGCCCCCAACACCTCGGGCCTCAAAGCGTCCCAGGACACCCTTTCCCCTCTAGCCCACAGTTTTTCTGGTGCCTTAAATCTTTCTGTAACAATGCAGCATTTTGTTTGTTTCCGCCTCTGTATCTGCCTCACGATGTTATCTCTGTTGGAAAATTTTCCCTCCTTTGGCCCCTAGCTCAGAGTTCAGGACTGGCTGAAAGACACACACACACACACACACACACACACACACACACACACACACACAGCCTTTCCTGCCCTTTAGGGTGGCTTAGCGTCTGTTTGTCTTTGCCACTGGAACTGACATTCAAGAACAGCCATCTCCTAGGGCCCAACCCTGGGCAGAGCTCCACAGGCCCACCCCGCCGTGTCTCCCACCAAGCCCTCACTGGGCAGGTGGCTGGTGTCTCCTTGTTGAAAGAGAAGCGAGCTCTGGGCCCACCTGGAGAGCCTTCCTCAGGATCTGCTGTCGAGGCTGAACGAGGAGCTACTGTCCATCCCGCCACCTCCCGGCTGGCCCAGGCCCCGTGTCTCCGGCTCCCGGCCTGGGGGTCCGGCACAATTAGGCATCCAGTCCGTGTCTGCTGCATGAATGGGTCTCCACCGACCTGGGTGCTGGCAGGCTTTCGGGCACCATTCAGCAGGTGATGCGGAGAGAAGGCTCCCGGGCCTGGGCCTGCCTAACTCTTCCTGTCATGGCTGACGTGACATGTTATGTCTTTCCTAACTGCATTCATCCCTTCGCTCCTCTGCTTCATCCTCCAAGGAAAAACCAGAAGACTGGTGCCTTGAATTGTTTGGTTGAAATGTCATGTTCCCATGTCCCCCAAATCCGGAAGATCTCATTCGTGTGTTATAATGACATGAAGCCATATATCCCTGTAAATGAATAGGAGCTAATAGGATACTTTCTAATTTCTGCCAATGCCCTCAAATATGTTCAATGTCTGCTAGGAATTTCAGGTACTTCTCCTTCCTTGTGTCTGTTTGTGTTGCCGCTCAGTAGTCAGCAAATACCTCCTGGCTATCTGTATTTATTGCTGTTTCTCATTTTTTTTCTCCAGACTGGAAGACTGTCCCATTTCTCCCCAGATGACCCAGCACTCCCGAAACGGCAGCCTCCCATCCCTGACAAGCGCCCACCATCCTGTCTACAACTGTGCTCAGACCGGTGCTTCTGAGTCTGGCATCTCTGCTTCTGGTAAGAAGCAGCGCGGGGGCTGGGAGGCAGCTCGGGGGGCTGATGATGCCCAGAATTAGAATCAAAGGAAGCAGCAGCAGTTAGAGATCCAGAAAGGCCTCAGCCTCGCACCTGATCTCCCCCACTGTGCTGCGTCACACGGGCCCACGGGCCCACAGGCCCACAACCACACAGCCACGCATGACCGCCGGCTTTTCCTCTAAACCCCCTTGTCTCAAAGCACCATGTGTGCTGCCCACGTCCACAGATGAGTCGGGCAAGATTTCTGCTCGCGGAAAGCTGCGTTCGATGTGCAATTTCAAAATAGTCATCTCAGAAAAACGGACATTCTTGACCGAGACTTTGGTGCATCCAGCTCGGGTGCTGAGGCAGTCGGCCACCTGTTCAAGGGCTGGTCTGAGACAGAAACACGCCAGGAGAAGCCAGGAGAAACGGCCGCAAGAGCCAAAACGTTTTGAAACATCTCATCGAATTCCCCAGAGACTGATGGGGGATAAAAGGATTTTGTTAGATGCCAGAAAAAAAAATAGATATGCTTTGAATCAGAAACGTACAAAGTATTTTTTTTTAATTCACAAGAGGAAATTAAAAGGATATGAGCAGGCCAGATAAGGCTAATCTCCATTGAAAGAGGAAAAACAACAGAGGAGCAGGTCAGATTCTGGGATGAGAAACATCGAACTTCTATAATCTGCTCACTGTCGGATTCCAGCGCTTCCAAGCCCGGTTCAAAGCAGAAGGCTGGTCACAGACCAGAGGACAGCCCAGTTGTTGAGTCTGGGGGATGGTCTCCTGGTTAGGCACAGTTTTAGAGGTTTCGCCAACTGGGCTCATGTATTATTAGAGCTGTAAACATTAATATGCCTTCACTGAAAGGTGATTAAGCTCCACCATCTGTCCAGAAATTTCTGCTTCCAGGATGGAGGTTTTAGGTGGTCTAACCACCTTTGCCGATTTAACCAAATGCCATTGAGTTAAAAGGTGATTTCAAGCTCCAAAGACCTGGACTTCCCAAAAGTTGCATTTAGGGTAATTTATTTATCAGGTACGTCCTTGCTTTACCAAAGCGACCACCAGGACGATCCTCCGTCTGACACCAATTCTCAGTATGGTCCTGTGTTTTGGAAGGATTTAGCATGGATTACCTATAGGAAGGAGGCATTTGAGGTGCCACAGATGGAGTAGCTGCGTGGCAGCTGGTTTTCCTGGAGATGGTGATGTCATTGTGATTTTCAAAAATAATTCGTGGTAGCCCTGACAAAGTCAAGGCGCTGGCCAATCCTGGTTCCTCACGTGAAAACGGTGAGCAGCCTTGGTGATCAGCCAGTGCCTCTCCCTGGGGAGGTAGCAGCCCTCTACATGGGCCACCTGGAGGCAGGGCAGCCGCTTGGCCCAAGTCGCTGAACACTGAGACCATATTCCCTATGTCCCCTCCTCCTGCATGTTTCCTCTCTACTTAGGCCTGCCTGGGACCCCCTGACAGACTCTGTCCATCAACTCCCCACCACCCCCCACCTCAGTGGGCTCCAAACTAGCTGCCTTCAGTCCACCAGCCAGAAACCAGCCATATTAACCTCTCTCCCCAGCCCTGCCCAGCCTGTACTCTGCCTCAGGACAGCACTCCCTTTCCTCCCTCTCCCTTACAATCATTCTACTAGAGAAGCCCACCCTCAGGGTTAGTGGCTCTCCCTCGGTCACTTAGGAAGCCTTTCGGGAGCATTTCTGGTACAGATTCTGTTCCTCCTCCTACCTTCTTTCAGGCTTGGCCAGCTATAGCCGCCCCAGAAACAATGTGTCCCTGGCCAGTGTTTACCCTCCGCTCCCAAGCCGGTCTTGTTGCTGCCATCCCTCCCTCTTCTGATCCAGCCTCTACATGAGGATGGAAAGCAAGTAGGCTTGGGCTTACGTGCTTAGAATGCGCATAACCAGGGTTGAGACTAGTTCTGAGGCTGCCTCTGGGCTCAGCAGATATAAGACAGCCTGAGAGGAAGAGGACAGTGGTGGGCCAGGTGGCCTCGTTGTCTTCTGTGGTAGTCCCTTCCTGTCAAAAGCCTAGAGCTATGTGGCGCCTGGGTGGCTCAGTTGGCTGGGCCATTGCCTTCAGCTCAGGTCATGATCCCAGAACTGTGGGATCAAGTCCCATATCGGACTTCCCCTCCTCTGCAGGGAGCGTGCTTCTGCCTTTCCCTCTGCTTGTGTCTCTCTGTCAAATAAATAAATAAAATCTTCAAAAAAAAAAAAAAATAGAGCTGACTTCCTGTGGACCCTTCCATACATATGGTCCTGCTTCTCTGGCCTTTTTTCCCACTTCTGTGCTCTTGCTCACCTGTCCCCCCATCCCAGTCTGGCCTCACCCAGCTGCTCCTCAGAGGCCCCTCACATATGACTTGCGACTAAGTCTGGCCTCCGGGCCTGTGCTCGTGCTGGGAACTCCTGCCCCACCTCAGACCCAGTGAGAAGCCGCCACGGTGGCCTCCAGCCCGTTTGCTCAGGAAGCTCTTCACACCTCTGCATTCGGTCAGTGTGAAGGTGAAATCTTGTGATGAGGAAACTGTGGGGCCCCCCAACCGTTTGATCAGTTGACCACGGGGCCAGAAAGTACATTCGTTTTAAGCAGAGGACTTTAGCCCCACAGAGCCAAAAGGAAATAGCTCCCAAAAGGAAAAAGCCAAGAATGTGCCTTCGAATCTTGTAAGACACTGGCCTCAAGAAAGTTGGTCTCATTCCCCCGTCAACCGAGGCTATCTTGGATATCAAAGTCGCATGCTCTGTCAGTGGCCTGGACTGAAAATGCCCAGCCCTGTCAGAAATGGATCCACAGGTGAGGAAACAGTACACTTCGTCCCAGGAAGCCTCCAGGACGTGCACACAGCTGCTGGGTCCCCTCAGTCCCCAGCTTCCAGTGGTGGGAGCTCTGAAGCCCGGCACTGTGATGTTCAGTGGAGAGAGAAGGAAGGGGCATAGGGGGTGACTACTCTTTGGAGACAGAACCGAAAAGATGTCAGATGGTTTCAGGAGAGCTCAGCATAGCTCCTCCTCTCTCCTGCCAGGGGGCTTTCCCGCCCACCCCCTAACCTGGCCCTCTGCCCACACCCACCTGGGAAGCTCCTGATCCTGGAGGACTGTCTGTCCCTGGGCTCCATTCCCTGGCATGGGATTTTCTCTGTGTGTTGCCCAGCGCACAACCATACACCTAAATGCTATCTCCTGGGCCCAATTAGAAGCCCATGGAGCAGAGAGCACAGACAAGCAGGCCAGTGTCCACTGGACATCAGGTGAGAGAAGTCTCCATTTCCAGTTCCAGTCCCAGCTCGAGGAGGAGACTGTCCGGTATGGTTTGTAAATAACACCACCCCTTGGGTTTCATCCCAGAAACAGATTCCCTATTCTAATAAGACCATTACCTAGGAGTCCAAGCTGCAAAGAGGAAAGATTATATTTAAGATAAAGTAGAGGCCACATTGCAAAGGAACCAGGGAGATTTTTAAATGAAAGAGCTGAAAGGAGCTTGGGTTAAGGAAGCAGCAAATCTGGACTTCGGTCACAGAATGGTTCTGGCATGGCATGGACCCCTTTGACTGGAGAAAGAGAAGAGAAGTGGGACCAGAGAGAAGGGGGTCATGGCATTTGAAATCCAGAAGAGGCTCTCGGGAGAGCTCCCTGACAGTGTCATCAGGGACTTCTCTGTTACTCTCCTGTGAAGGTCTACAGGATGACCCCATCCTTGGCCTTGAAGTCAGTACGACTCCTGCTGGGAATGAGGGCCATTCCTGCCCCTGTGGGTGGGCTGAGGGATTCAGGCCTGAAGAGGCCTGGGGCAGCTCAGGGGGAAAAGAGTCCCACCCCTGGGATTGCTGAATTAGGCAGATAAAAATAGAGGACACCCCAAGGGAACCTGGGTGGCTCCATTGGTTAAGCATCTGACTCTGGATCTCAGCACAGGTGTTGATCTTGGAGTTGTGAGTCTGAGAGGCCAGGGGTGCCAGGAGAAGCAACAGGGCCAGAAGTCTCGGCTTTCTGGTGCTGGTGTGCTCCAGCCGGACCACTCGTGCTGCACCGCCAGGTTGTAAGTCCACCAAGTGGCCCCCTGGAAAGTTCTCAGGCTGTGCAAGGAAGCAAGTCTTCATCCATAAGCTCCAGGGAGCTATCAGGGGCTAGCCTGGGCACGTGCTTTTCTTGGCTTTTTGGTCTAGTCCAGTAAGGAACATCCTCAAAGAGGTTCCAGAAGCAGAGTTGACTGACCTCTCTCTCCTCCCCAGCCACCGCAGACATCAGGCCAGGAGAATGGTTGCCAGCAGGACCTCAGGGAGAGGTTCGCCTGTCCTCCGCAGAAGTCCCCAGCCAGGCCCCAGGCCGTGGAGCAACCACTAGGTAAAGATGGGGGTTGTCCCAGGAGGGCTCTCTCTGGTCCAGCCTCTGACTTTGATCTCAAAGGAGTATTTCTCTGGGTCTGAAGCCCTTCGGGGGCCGGGGGGGTGGATGAGGTCACCACACCTGTTAACCTCAGAGCCCAAGGGGAGGCACCTGCCCCCTGGGTATTACCAGTTTTCAGACAGGAAGGAGAAGAAACTCATAAACATGCCCAAGGGACTTGTTTTAAGAACTGCAGGCTGAACACATTCATGGGGATGAGTGATTTGGAGTGACCTGTGAGCAGTGTCCGATCCCAACTATTTGTTTTTGGAGAAGGTGGGATGGAGGGGAAAGACGACGAACAGGATTAGTGAAATGGTTTAGCTCCGATGTCACCCTCCTAAACGAGAAATTGGATCCCACCCAGAAAAAAAGGTGTTTTCTCTTCCTCTGCACCAAATGAATGCGGCCTGGCCTCTGAGAGGTCACTCGGGTGTTCTTTAGGAGCTAGGAAGTCTGGGTCTCCTTTCGGATCTGAGGCAGACCACTCAGGGAGAGGGGCCTAGCCGGGGTGTCAGACCCAAGCCCAGGGCTAGGCTCCCCGGCTGGCCCCCACCACTTCCTCCTGGCCACGAGGTGTCCTGCAGCCGGAGTCGTTCCAAGATGGCGAAGCCAACCTCCTGCACGAAAGCCCTGGACCCTAGCCAGGTTTCCCATGGTGACACGCTCAGAGTCTCTGAATTAGAGGGGTTTTGCCGTGGTGACCGGCCAGGCCTCCTGTGCCTCTGCCTTCCTGTAGAACTGAGAAATGTTGGCAGGAGTGTCTCTGAGGTGAGCAGGACCCTGGCCGCTGGGGTGATGGCTGACCTTGGCCCCACCCGGAGCGCTGTGGGGCAAAAGGACTGCCTCCCAGACCCCTGAGACCTGCAGCTCTTTTCCCCTCACGGTGTGCAGGGCCCAATAGAACCCGCCCACTGGGCCTCCCCTAACTCAGGCCTGGCCGCCCTCCTTGCCGGCTCCACAGAGGGAAGCCACAGAAAAAGCAGTTCCTGCTGAGTTTCAAGCCGCAGGAGCCCCTAGCTGCCAAGGCCGCCCCTGGACAGGCAGAAGGCCTAGCAGAGCCGGCTCCCACAGGGCAGCAAGTCCAAGAGGGGGCTGCGGCTGCTCCCCCTCTCCCAGCAGGCAGCACCCCCCCCCCCCCCCCCGCCCCACCTGCCTATCCCATGCGGCTAGGCAGAGGCACTGTGTACCAAGGCAGTCAGAGCTCCCAGGGGGCAGCAGAGCTCTGTGGGGTGGAGCCAGAGGATGTTGGGACCTGGACTGGAGTGGGGGGTCCCCTGACCAGCTGGGGACCCAGGGAGCCACCTCCCCAACCTGGCAGAATGGCTAAAGCTGTGCCCCGGGATTGGAAGTGCCCGACGCCCACAGGCTGGCCCACAGGTCAGGGGTTCTCTGGCTCTTGGCACCCTCCTGAAGTGGGGGGCTCAAAAGGAGAGACCTTGGAGGGCTGGGCCAGAGCTGAGGCTGGGCCCCTGCCGCGCTTGCCCTCTGCGCCTGGGTCGGGACCCAGAAACAGTCCCCCGTCTCAGCCAGGCCACACCTGCCCTCCCACCATGAGCACTGGGTCTATGGCCTTCCTGAAAGGCAGAATTCATTTCTGAGGCTTGCTAGAGACTGTCCTCTCTCCCCAGAGCAAGTGTTTTCAGAGCAGGGGACCCCCAAAGGCTCTCCTGAGAAACATTCCCCCTGGTGACGCCAAATGGAGTGACCCAGTTGGCCCTCCAAGGTCCTGCTGGCACAAATCCCCCGTGGGTTTCGGTCCATGGGTGCTCTTGCCCTAATGGCTGTCATGTGAATTCAACTCTTATTTTAAGTCTGGGAGGAGTGGGGGTGGGTTCTGTTTGAGGAAGAGGAGAATGGAAAGGGGGAGAAATAGACAAGCTGGTCCCCCACCTTGCTTCCCCTCTGGCTATGTGACCACTGCCTGCCACACTCTTACCCCTCCCCCGCTGCCCCAGGTTTCCGCTAAGCACCCCTTCCTCCCTCCTGACCCAAGTCCAGTCACACAGCCCCGTTCCCTCCCCAGTCCCTGAGTGTCTCCCGCTGTCCTGAAAGACAAGGGCCATGGGGAGGGTGTCTGTCCCCTTGTCCCCACCTGGCACCGAGCAGGCTCTCAAAATCTCTGGTGGATTAATCAGGAGAAAGGGAGAGAGAATGGCCTTCTGCGTGGCTTGAGTGGGGGACATTTGTCCCTCCGCTTTCCCCAGCTCCTCTCTCTCTCTCTCTCTGTCCTTAGAGTGAGGACAGCCCCTTGACCCAGGAGACGCGCCAGTGGGTGGGCGCTGCTTGACTGTCCATTCCCCATGGAAGGCCCCGGAGCTGCAGGTGTGGGGAAATGGTAGGTTGAACGATACTCTCATCGTTTAACCCCAGAGAGGTGGTTTGAAGACAACCGAAGCTCCAGCTCCACTCCCCTGGCTTCCAGCCCCTGGTCTTGCTGGGAAATTGCCTTCCTAAAAGGCGGAGGGTAAAAGCTTTAGGCCCTGTGAGCCCACTGCCTCCGTCCCCCTCCAGACACCCAAGTGTTCCTGTTCCCACGTTCCCTGTCTGCTTCTCAGAGTCCTTACCATCGAGTAGCTCGGGAACCATCGTGTTAAGCAGGGTCCTGCAGAGAGGAGCCCGCCCGACCGGCTGGCAGGCATTGGCCTGGCTGGTACCTCCCTCTGTCCCAGGGAGCCACGGGGGAGCGGGTTCCCTGATCCAGGCCCGGGCCCAGCTCAGAAACAGACAGGGTCAGAGTTCCTGTCGTGCCACCGACAGGAAATGACTCTTCGGCAAGTATTACGGCTTTTAGAACGTGAAGAAGAGAGATTTTACATACATCTAGGTATGCTTTATCCCCCCGCATTTGTCCCCAGAGGGCATGCGGCAGCTGTGAGGACCCCTCCAGTACCTCCCACTAAAAGAAACTGGAAACTGAGAACAAGCAAGTCAGGGGAATGAAGACAGGAGCCCTGCGTGTTCACGTGCACAAACACGTGCGCACATGCGCACGCTCGCACACTCGTGAACTGTTTGCTGGTGTGTGTATTTGCCTTCATCCGGTGTCACCCCACGCCTTGCTGCTTTCTGGGCTCTGGTGTAGCGTGGACGAAATCTCCATGGCTGTGACCAAGACCCCTTGGCGAGCCCCGATGAGCAGTCCTCAGAGGGGACCCCAGAGCACACATCATCTGTACCATCCTGCAGACAATGGTCCCAGAGAGCTGAAGGGACACAGGGTCCTCTGCCCTGGGGAACTCTCAGCTGGGAGATGATGACTCAGCAGCATTCCAAACACAAGTACAGGTTAAGTATCTCCAGAAGCCTCTGATTGCTCTTCCCCTCCACACAATGCTCCCATTGATGAGCTGAGATCATCTCCGTGGGTCCCGCCTCTCTAATAAATAATTTGCCTATCTTGCAGACCACGTCCCAGTTTACCCACACCGTGAAGTTTACCTACTACTCAGCACCATTATTCCCACCACAATTGACTTTCCCCGGTCACAGGTCATTGCCGTCCTGAATCTTCTGTCCACATGCTTTTCCTGCCCTGCCCTAATCCGGCCTCATCTCCTCCTAAACCATCACCATTTCCTGGCTCTGGCTCCCTGCTGCTCAGACTGCTGAGCTCACCCTTTGAGGGGCCTGGGGGCCTGGAGGCCACACTGACCAGCCCCCCCGACCCCGCCTCCCACGTCCTCACCCCTGCAGGAGTCAGGAGCAGTGACCAGCACCCTCAGGCAACAGCACCACCTGCTGCAGCAGCCTCCCACGTGGTTTGGGCTCCACCAAGCCAAGGAGGGGCTCTTTGGTGCCCTCCAGCCCCAGAGAAGGAGCCAGAAGGAGCCCCTGTCTGAGGGTGCTCTTCTCCCCAGCAGCAAGGCTACCATGGCCAAACAAAGGTCATGCCCAGGGCCAAGAAGAGGCTGACTTTGAAGGTGTACTAGTCAGGGTTCTCCAGAGAAAGAGAACCAACAGGGAGGGGGTGGGCAGGAGGGGGTGGTTGTAAGGATTTGGCTCACATGATTGTAGACACTTGGCCAGTCCAAACTCTACAGGGTAGGCCTGCAAGCTAGAGACCCAGGGAAGAGTTGCAATTGGAGTCCAAAGGCAGTCTGCTGGCACCATTCCTTCCTACTCAGAGGAGATCGGTCTTTGACTCTTCGTGCCCTCAACTGATTAGATGAGACCCACCCACACTGCAGAGGACAATGTACTGTGCTCAAGATCCACCTATTTAAATGTTAATCTCATCCAAAAGACACCTGCACAGAAATATCCAGAATCACATTTGACCGAATATTTAGGCACCATGGCCCAGCAAAGTTGATTCATAAAATGAATGCACACGTAAGAGTTTTCGTAACACATCGCCAAACCGCTCTCCCAAAGGACAGAGCTCTTTCCTGTTTGCCTGGGAGTCGGGAGATTATAGATTCCTAGCCCTGTGACCCAGACCTTTTCTCCCTTCACTTCTTGCCCACTCACCTCAGCGTCCCCCATCCCCACAAGCTGACCTTGCTGCCCCTTGGCTCTAAGGCCCGGTGCAGTGAAGCTGCCCAACCATCCCGGGCCTTCCCAGCTAGCTCCTTCAAATGGCCTCCCTGTCCCATGACTCTGTGATGGACATCGCTGGTGACCCAAGGCTACCACCCACAGCCAGGAATAGCTGCCAGTGCTCCCTGAGTAGTCTGTACTAGTTTCTCATAGTGATTCCTTCTTAAAATGCAAGAGGGCTGCATTTTAATTGACTGAGCCCCCCAGGTGACCCCGATAAGGCTAATTTTAAAATGATCAAGATGGTAACTTTTTTTCTCTTGGAATTACTTTTATTTTAAAATTTTTTTAATTTAAATTCAATTAATTAACATATAGCATATTATTAATTTCAGAGGTAGAGTTCAGTGATTCATCAGTGGCATAGAACACCCAGTGCTCATTCCATCATGTGCCCTCCTTAATGTCCATCACCCAGTTATCCCACTCTCCCACCCCTTCCCCTCCAGCAGCCCTGTTTGTTTCCTATGATTAAGAGTCTCTTATGGTTTGTGTCCCTCTCTGATTTCGTCTTATTTTACTTTCCCCCTCCCTCCCCCCTGTTTTGTTTCTTAAGGGCCATGTACGAGTAATAATCAACTGCTATAACAAAAATCAAAACATCAAAATTAGAATAGCAAAATAGGGGAGAAAAGTCATTTGAACCACATAATATTAAAAGAAAACTACCTTGGAGCACCTGGCTGGCTCAGTCAGTAGAGCACACGACTCTTGATCCTGGGCTGGTGAGTTCAAGCCCCACGCTGGGCGTAGAGCTTACTTACTCTCATACATACATACGTACATTTTTTTAAATAAAAAATCATTTTAAACTTTAATAAAATGCTGTAGGGTTAAATCTTCCATATCATTTTTCTTTTCTTTTTTTTTAAGGTTTTATTTATTTATTAGAGTGTGAAAGAGAGCACTAGCAGGGAGACGAGTATCCTTTTCAATCTGGTATCAAAGATTTCTTGCCTAGGGCCGCCTGGGTGGCTCAGTTAAGTGGCTGACTCCAGATTTCGACTCAGGTCATCATCTCAGGATCCTGGCATCAAACCCCACATTGGGCTCCACGCTCAGCAGGAATCTGCTTCAGGATTCTCCCTCTCCCTCAGTTTCTGCCCCCACCCCCGGCCTGCTTGCTCACTCTCTCTTTCTAAAATAAATAAATCTTTTTTTTAAATTTTATTTATTCATTTGAGAGAGAGAGACAGAGAAAGCATGAGTAGGTGGAGAGGCAGAGGGAGAAGCAGAAAGCCCAACTCAGGACTCAATCCTAGGACCCTGGGATCATGACCCAAGCTGAAGGCAGACATTTAACCAACCACCTGAGCCACTCAGGCACCCTTAAAATAAATAAATCTTTTTTTTTTTTTTTTAAAGATTTTATTTATTTATTTGACAGAGAGAAATCACAAGTAGGCAGAGAGGCAGGCAGAGAGAGAGGAGGAAGCAGGCTCCCTGGTGAGCAGAAAGCCCAATGTGGGGCTTGAACCCAGGACCTGGGATCATGACCTGAGCCGAAGGCAGCGGCTTAACCCACTGAGCCACCCAGGTGCCCCAAAATAAATAAATCTTTTTAAAAAATAAATAAATAAGAGTTGCCCGAGTGGCTCAGCTCAGCAGAACCGAGCGCCTGCCCTCGGCTCGGGTCATGATCCCAGGGTCCTGGGATTGAGCCCCACATTGGGCTTCCTGGTCAGCAGGGAGCCTGCTTCTCCCTCTCTCTGCTGCTCCCCCTGCTTGTGCTCATTCTCTCTCTCTCTCTCTCTGCCAAATAAATAAAATATTTTTAAAATAAATAAATAATCAACTAATTTAAAGAAAAGGAGATTTCCTACTTAAAGTATGGGCACTTTTTATGCCACTTTTCTCCTAAATTTGAATTTGGAAATTTTTCAGATGTTTAAGTTTTATTTTTCTAATGATTAAAATATTCTCCCTGTAAAAAAAGAAGGGAGGGAGGAAAGGAGGGAAGGAAGGATGGAAGGAAGGGGCATATGGAAATATAGAATTGATTCAAATAAGAAATTCCAGTTTCAGGGCACCTGGGTGGGTTAAAGCCTCTGCCTTCGGCTCAGGTCATGATCCCGGGGTCCTGGGATCGAGCCCCACATCGGGCTCTCTGCTCAGCAGGGAGCCTACTTCCCCCTCTCTCTCTGCCTGCCTCTCCACCTACTTGTGATCTCTGTCAAATAAATAAATAAAATCTTAAAAAAAAAAAAAGAAAGAAAGAAAGAAATTCCAGTTTCCTTCCAGGTCCCACTCCCCAGAGCCAAAACCCTCATTTAAGGGGCCCTCGATTGACTTCAGCGCAGCCTCCCTTGCAGAATCATCACAGCTATTTGAGAGACAGGTGGGGAAACTGAGGCTCTCCAAAGGTCGGCATACTTGCCTACGTTCAGTCACCAGCTGGAGAGTCGCAGAGCAGGACTGAGGGTCTGGGTCCTCCCAGGGAGCACACCCCCTGCCCCCCGCACCTGCCTCCACTTCCCACTCTGTGTGTGCACACACATGCACAGGCATGCTCCCCCCACCGTTCACCAAGGGGGCGCTGACTCACTCTCCTAGCTCAACAGCTGTTTGCTGCACACCAACTGTGTGAAGCCCACGGACTAAGGGACCCGCTTAGGGCAGGGGAGACGGACCTGCCATGGACAGAGCGCGTGCCCAGCTGCTAGCTGAGCCAATGTGTCCAGTGAATGTGTCCATTCACTGGGGATGGCAACCCTGGGTGACAGCCTGGGACTTTGGTCTTTGGAGTTACAGTCAGGAAAATGGGCGTGTAGATAGCAGGGACCCCAGAAGTCAAGGTGGGAGCAAGGTATAGACAGCTCCATGACAGCCAGACAGCAAAGGGCTGGGCAGGGGGGATCCCACAGAGCCAGGCCCCCACTTCTGGGACTTCTTGTCTAACAGTGCCAAGCTGAGGGTGCCAGCTCCAAGACTAGCCCACCGCATCTCTGGGAGGCCACCTGGCAGCCTGGTGGTATATGGAGAAGGGCTGGCTAGGAGATCCCACTGGGCTCAGATCTTGGCCTCACAACCTGCGCGTTATGCGTGTGGCCTTGGGAAAGTTCACAAACTTGGGGCCTCAGTTTCTCCATCCGAAAAATGGGGAAGTAATGCCTGCCCCCACCACCCACAGGAGTGTTTGGGGGCTAAATGTCACCCTCTTTGCGTGGCCTTCCCTGGCCACCACATCTAAAATTAGTTTTCTATTGCTGCTGTAACAGATGACCTCAAGCGTAGAAACCTGAACACACAAAGGTATGGCCTCACAGTCCTGTCGGTCAGAAGCCCCGCACCGCTCTCATGGGGCTGGAATAGAAGTGTGCACAGGACACACAGCTTCCCGAGTTCCATGGGAAAATCTTTTTTCTGCCTTTTCCGGCTTCTGGAGGCCGCCTGCCTTCTTTGACTCCCGGCCCCTTCCACCGTCTTCAAAGCTGGGCAGGCTGGCATCTCTTTGCCCTTCTTCACAGTCATACTTCCTTCTCTCTCTTCTTCTGCCCCCTCTCCCACTTTTTCTTTTTATGATTTTATTTGTCAGATAGAGAGAGGGAGAGAGAGCACAAGGAGAGGAAGAGGCAGGCAGAGGGGGAAGGGGCTCCCCACTGAGCAAGGACCCCGATGTGGGACTCTATCCCAGGACCCTGGGATCATGACCTGAGCCGGCAGACGCTTTACCAACTGAGCTACCCAGGTGGCCCTCCCTCTCAAACTTTTAAGGACCCTTCTGGTTTCCGTGGGCTCACCCTGATAGCCTAGAATAATCTCCCTGTGGCAAAGTCAGAAGATTTGCAACCTCTGTTCCACCGCAGTTACATTCTCCTTTGTCATAAAAGGTCCCAGGGAGTAGGACAGAATGGAGGACAGTTACTCTGCCGGCCACACCTTCCCTGGCTATCCTACCTCAAACTTCAAGAATCCCCCAGGCTCCCCGTCCCCCTTCTCGGCTTCATCTCTTCCTTAGCCTTTAATTCCTTTTTTTTTTTTTTTTTTTAAATCTTCCTCCTCCTATAGAGTGTGTGTTCCGTGGGGGCAGGGATGTATGCCACCAGGTGCCCCACCCTACCCCACCCCTACCCTGTGCCCAGGTCCGTGCCTGTCTGACCTCTTGGTGCTCAGACAGGGAGTTCCTTCTTTCCTCCTGAGACTCCCTTAAGTATGCAGTAGCCGTAACTGTAGACTGTGCATTTCCTTCTAGGGAATTTACATCAGCCTTCTCCTGTGAGCCCCGGACCCCCAGCACCCCGGCAATCCTGGACCTGAACCCACCCAAGGCCAAGGCATCCACTCTGGCCCCTCGGTTCTCTCCGTGCGGCCCCCAGCAGGCCAGCCACCCTGGCTCCATGTTGTCCTCCACGAGGGGCCCACAGAGTGAGTCAGACCAGAGGGCGGGGCGCTGTGTTTGTCTGGGCCCCACAGGCCAAAGGGAAAGCCAGGGCCCTCGCCAGTGTCTCCTCCTGCCCTAGAAACCAGTTCTCCACTCATCTTCCCATGTATGCCATTGCCATGGGCCTTGGGGGCTCACACACAGCCCGGCAGACGGGGACCATCTGGGCAGTGTCGCTCAGAGTAAAGACTCCCCCCACCTCTGTGGCACTCGTGTGGTTGCCCCTGGACCCTGGACCTGCCTTCCGGTGGGGGGCAGCCGACAGCTACTCAGGCAGCCTGGAAACCAAACCAGAGCAGGTGCCTTGGAGGCAGGCCACCCCAGTGACTGAGGGTAGGGGGGCCCTGGGGACCTCCCTCCTGCCATTTTGGACAAGGGAGAGACCACTTCCTCTCTCTATCCCCTCCTAGCCTGGGCCAGTTGGCCACCTCCTCCACTCCCCAGCTGAGCCTGGACCTTTCTAAAGAGTCTTAACTAAAAATAAGGGAGGGAGGCCTGGCTGGTGTAGTCAGAGGAGAATGCGACCCTTGATCTCAGGGTCGTAGGTTCGAGCCCCAGGCTGGGTGTAGCGATTACGTAAAAATAAAATGTTAAGGGGCGCCTGGGTGGCTCAGTGGGTTAAGCCTCTGCCTTCGGCTCAGGTCATGATCTCAGGGTCGTGGGATCGAGCCCCGCATTGGGCTCTCTGCTCAGCGGTGAGCCTGCTTCCTCTTCTCTCTGCCTGCCTCTCTGCCTACTTGTGATCTCTCTCTCTCTGTCAAATAAATAAATAAAATCTTAAAAAAATAAATAAATAAATTAAATAAAATAAAATGTTAAAAATAAATAAATAAATAAATAAAAGAAATCAAAATAAAGGAAAACAAAAGTGAAAAAGAGGATGTCAAGCAACAGAAAATCTGTCACACTCAGGATATATGCATTTCTGCCACTGTACCGCCCCACACTCTCCCTGCCGCATTCATTTCCTGCCGGAGCCCCGGGCATTCTGGTCAACCCGAGACCTGCTGGGCTAGCGTGTGGTTAATGGGCTGTGGCTGGAAAGCTGGCCCAGCCCTCCCTCTTCTCCGACGCCTCTCTGGGGGTTAACACGGAGCCCAGCCCCAGCCCCCGCTACCCTCCCCCCACCGGTCCCCAGCAGCAGTGCAGCTTCTGCTGCTGCTTCACATGGGCCGAAGGAAGCACCCGCAGGTGCCGGGAGCGCATGGCCGGAGAGAGGTGGCCGGGCCCAGCCCCGGCGGGCAGTAACCGCAGCAGCAACAGCCGGGACCCTGCGGGCTCCTGCGGGCTCCTCCGGGCTCCTCCAGGCCCTGCCCGTGCCTGATAGCTCAGCTAGCAGCAGACCCGTGTCCCATGGCCTCGACAAACAACAAAACCATTGCCTGCAAACTCAGTGAGTAACCCCAGCCAAGCTGCCTGCTTCCTGGGAGGAAAGAGCATGGCCACGTGAGGCTTGCCCGGGCCGCAGAGCCGGTGACCTGGGGGAAGGGAAGGTTCTCTGTATTCTGTCTGCACAGAGCCAGCTGAAAGAAGGGCCTATATGAGACAGAGGGGACTCTGTGCGGATGCCGCCTCCGTGCTGGCAGCTGGCGCTGGCTTTTCTTCTCCAGGGAGCCCATCTTACAGGAAGTGAGGACAGTTCCTTCCCCGGTGTCACCATCCCGTTGCCTGAGAACCAGCCAGCTTCCCCCTCTGGCCCAGCGGGCAGCTGCAGGTGACAGATGTGGAGAGACGGTGGTCCACGAGCCCCCAGGTGGCTTTGGGAGCTGAGATGAGGCTGGCTGTCCCGGCAGTCCCCCACCACGGGCTCCTGTCGCTGCCCTTCTCAGGTTGTCCCCTCACGCACAGAGGAACGTGGCTGGGTAGGCAGCATGAACCCCACCAGTGAGCTCTTCACCTCAGAGCCTGTGCAGAGGAGGCGGGGGCCCCTGAAAACCCAGCCAGGGAAGGCGGGGACAGGACTCGGCCTCGTTGAAACCAGCACTCCTCTCTCCGGCCAGCTGGAAGAAAAACTGTGGGGACTTAGGACAAGGGTCACCCATCCTCAAGCCATATTCCTGAGCACCAGATCTGATGTTCTCGTCCTCTTTTGAAATCTGGTAAGACTATGATCTAGTCCCAGATACAGCTTGGAAGCCACAGCCGCTCTCGATCTTCTGCACACGTGTTTTAAAGGCCACCTAGGGCTGACCGTGTAACCCACCCTCCTCTTGTAAGATTGTAAACACAAGAAGTTCCGATGACAAAATGACCAGTCCCCGCTGGGGAGGATTGTGCTGGCCCTTTGCGGAGAGTGACGTCAGAGCCCGTGTCCTAGGACAGAACCAGCAATGTCACCCAAGCAAGGAGCAGGATCTGACCTCTCCTGAAATAGGAGTATTGAAATAAAAGTATCAATATTTAGATGGTACTTGGGTGTGGTATGGGCTGTGTGTGTGTGTGTGTGTGTGTGTGTGTGTGAATAAAATTGGGTATTATCCCCCAGGCACTCCGTCTGCCCTGACTATGCCCTTAGTGAAGACATCTTTGTGGTCCAACAGGACAAAAATAGAAGATAAGCATTGCATTTTCCAGTGGCCTCCTCACTCCTCAAAAAAGCCAGCAGAGGGGGTAAACCGAAGAACATTAGAGCAGGCAAGTGGCCGGGTGACCCCCAAGACATCTGTAAACCCCATCAGAGGCTAGGACCCTGGGTTAATCTTGTGAGCTCTCGGCAGTAGCACCAAGGGGGCGCGTGAGAACTCTGTGGTTCTGAGACTGGCCCGGAGGCCACATCCAGATTCTCTAGAAATGTCTGAGCCCCTCTGTGTTCCTGGGGAAGAAAGCTGTGGAGAGCAAGGCCCTACCTTCTTCTTGGGAATGTCCACCTCCAGGCTCTCTCCACCTCCTGACTTGGAGATACTAAGAGAAAACGTCAAGGCTTATCACCAGTACCTGTGGACAAGGTCACACAGGGAAAGCAGAGACTGGGTCCCTGAGATGGGGTCACTCCGTGGTGAGACTTTAGAGAGTGGCTGCAGATGAACAGCAGGAGAACGTGATGGAAAAATCTCTCCTGGTCTCCTCAGTAAATCCACTCCCTTTCAGATTCCTCAGATGCCGCTGACTGGCACGGCCTTTCCCGTCTCCAGAAATCCGGAGGGACTAGAAGAGTAATGGGTTCCCCTCGTCTCCATGGTATCAAGGCAACTGCTCTTTCTCCCCCAGACCTACAGATGGGCTAAAAACCTGATTTGTAAACGTCTGGCCACTTCGGGAGAAGAAAAAAAGTCTTTTAGAGATTTGGGAAGTAGCCAGCTCTGTGTCACTGAAATCACCAGGTACAGCCCGAGTGGTTCTCCGGGCTAAGTAAATACCGCCCCGTCTCCACACCACACCCTGGGAGACTCCTCTCGCTGGCACACACGTCCACATCCCCAGGCTGATGGCCAGCAAGAACCTTGGTAAAACACCAGCAGCTTCTTCATAAATATCCCGGCTGTCTGCTGGCCTCGCTGACTTGGCTGGGGTCACACATGAACATGACCTACAGGAGAGAATCAAGGACATGAGTAAACCCAGATGGTTTCAAAGGTCATCTGGACATCTAGTCATACAGCCAGCTGCTAGGATTTGCCCATGAAACCCACCCAGGGAGCCACGGTGGAGAGCCTGTGGAAATTTTGAGAATGGTGGGCCCTCGGGAAGATCCCTTCTTCCCCCCGGAAGCTGACCGCAGCTCTCCAGGTTCCTGGCCCTCTAATCTCTCCTGAGTAGAACTCAATCTCATTTTGCTTCCTTCACAGCAAGGTGTCAATGCCTGACAAAAGCTTAAATTATGACCCTTGGTGGGAATATAATAGACAGGTGGAGGTTTGAGATCCAGTCAGATTGCAGAGGTCAATCACTCAGCAGGTTGGGAAGGATTTAGCCCAAATCAAAAGAAGTAAACCAGAAACAAAGGCACAGATAGGATTAATGCATAAATTCCACGACAAACTTTTTTATTAAAACAAGAGCTGACCCTGTGCTTATAGGATCTTACCCTGCTTGCCAAATCCTAATCCTAGCCCCAATTCCAATAAAACTTTTTTTTACAGAAATGGGCAGCCAGTTCATGAGCCATAGTTCACCGAATTGATTTCTCTAATATTGCGTTAAAATATGTCTTGTCTTGATTCCTAAGTTTCGGGATACTGCCTTCCATTTTGTGTGCAAGGTGAATGCCTCACTTGCCTTAACCGCATCCTGGCACAGGATCTAGGGGGTCCTCCTGGGTCCCTCGCAGTGTGCCAATGACCCAGTCTCACAGCCAGATGGCTGGCCTGCCTGCCCGCTGGGCCATCTTCATCTGCCCAGATACCGTTTGTGGTACATTGGGCTGAGGAGTGGTTCGCTTTGCTTTGCACATAACAAACTACACCCAAAACACGCGGTTTAAAACAACTTATTAGCTTTATGGTTATGTGGCTCTGCGATGGAGCTGGGCTCCAGTGGGCGCTTCTGTTGGGTTTGGTTGGACCCAGATGTGTGTCTCTGCTCAGAGGGCCATCGAGGGCCTCGCTCGTCTGACAGCTGGCTGATGGCTGGGTTCTGAGTTGTCCTCCGCGAGGCCTCTCATCCCGCAGCAGCCGGCTGGCCTGGGCGCCTTCCCCTGTGGCCTCAGGACTCCGGCTGCGGGGAGAGAGACATGAAGCCCCAGGGCTGCTCGGGGTTTCTACCTGCATCGTGTTTACTCTTCTCCCGTTGGCCGAAGCCAGTCACACAACCGAGGCCAACAGTCCGTGCAGCGAGATGAGACTACAGGGGCACTGAGCGAACCCAGGGCCCGGCCCAGACAACGCACCACATCAAAGCATTCAGAACTTACCTCACTGCTCAGAACCAAGCCTTTCAGGGTGGTTTTCCGCCCCCATGGTGTGACATTTTGATTCAGTTCAGCAAACAGCCTCTGGGACCACTCTGTGCTGGGATGCGGAGTGTTGCGATTTTGTGGGAATCCCATTTGCTTGGTGGGGCTTCCACCGACAGGAGCAAGTGAAGTGGGGGAGGCTGTCTCTCACAGGTCCTCTCGCCTCGACAGCCCCCCTGGGGGGGTGATCATGGCAGGGTGCAGGCGGAGTGGGAGCCGCAGCACGATAGGGCTGGCAGGGGGA